TAGTCTCACAACAACATTTGCCTTCTCAATGCATTGCAATTGAAAGATGCAGAGCAAATGTAAATATGAATGTTTAATATAACACATACAGACAATCCTTAATATAAAACTGTGACTAGAAATGAAAAATGTACCATGCATTATTAGCCTTACCATATTATAATGTTCAAATTCAAGTAAGCATCATATCAATAAAATATAATTTAGTCTAAATTTAAATATTAAAGGAAATAAATATTTTATTTAAATTTATTAATCTTCCTTAAAGTATTTTTCACCAAATGTGCTCATCATGAATGTAAAAATAAACATTTATTTGCTGATAAGTAATTATTGTGTACCTCCTTGACAGCCTTAAGTGCATCCAGCCTGTGCTGAGGGGGTGGGTACAGTAACATTCGGTGGAACAAGGACTCCAGCACTGGTCGCAGTGATGTCACAGGGCCCATCAGGTCCACTAGACGAACTGCAATACTGAACATGTCATTTACCCATTAGTGATGATTAAAACGTACTTTAAACCATTCAATGGTCATTACAACATATCATACACCATTCAATGATCACAATCATCAGAACATTCCATACACAATGTCACTTATTAGTTGTGATATCCTCGTTTACCCATTATGGACATTTTCATTAACAGCTGACCTCCTCCTTGGTGTCAGATTACTCTTTCCCTATTAGAAAACAACACATGCACATTCAATTTCTGGCCTGACCATTCCAGACACTTCATAATCTAAAAAACATGTTTCTTGATACTAATGTAACTCATTTTTTTCTGCTTCTTCTGAAACCAAATTGTCTATTGATTTGTAGAACTTATTAGATTGGGATCATCATTAAACTATTCAATAAGGTATATCTTATAAAAGTTTTATAATATACTCAAAAGAAGGATTGAAAATCATAAAGCTTTGTTTCCTAATTTATCTAGATAACACGTGAATGGTTCGATTCAGTGTCAGAAGTGCATATTAACACAAATCAACTAGACATAGTGATAATTATTAAATACCTGCATGGCTTTAAAACAGAGTGATTACTAGATGAAATTTTGCTGGCTTACAGTTACCTATAAATGGTCTTGGCAGTGGACACCTGGAGGTTTGGGGCAGTTAGGGAACAGCCGGAGCCTCTCCCTAAATCCTCCAGAGATTTGGGAATGACAGCACTCCTCTCTGACTTGGGAGTGCCCAGTAGTGATATCAGGCATGGACACAGGAACTTCCTAGATTAATAAAACATACTAAAGGGTAACAATAGGAAAAGAAGCTAAAGATATATGAATTATTTAGAAAATAGGCTAATACTAATAGCTATAAGACATTCTATGGAAAGTTATAAGGAGATTCAATGTAAGTTTTGAGCTAAAAACAACTTTGGACTATTTCCTGAAAATGTTGGTGCTCCCATATTTGCACCAACAAAGACTTCCTGGAGAGGCTTGTGTTTCCAAACTGAAACTTACCAGAGGACTTCCTGGAAAGGTTTGTATTCCCTGATGGAGACTGGTGAGTTGGAGATGACAGTATAGACCCCCTCCAGGAGGAGTGGTATAGACTGGCGAGTCTGATTGGAACTGAAAGACAGTAATACAGTGTATTATCTATACATAGTTAACACAGATATAGCATAACTTATACTCCTATTTCATAACCAATAATTTTTATACAGACTGTCGACCATGGAAGGAACATTTTGGTGATTGAAAAAGATATAAAATAATCTTATCTGATAAGTGGACATATTACCAGTCCTGCAGTATTAGAGTGCTAGTTAAACAAAATGTTGTAATATTTTCTGACAGCCGACTTTACTGTCTTGGCATATTGTGGCTTAGAGAGTTGTTTTCAGAAGTTTTAAGTCAAGACATCGGTCATTTGCACTCTTTGCTTGATTGTTTTTTTGTTAAACAGGCATAGCATACAAATGTATAAGAACTGCTCCCACCTGGGTGCCTGTTCCAGTTTAGCTGTGAAGAACTTGAGTATGGCAACCACATCTTTAAACAGACTTTCATAGCTTGGTGTGTCTGAAAGTAATCACAGAACAAATAAATTATCATTATCAGATACGTACTGTATTGCATACCTTGAGCCATCATACACTATTAATTTCCTCCAATGTTACTTTTGTTTATCCTTCAAACTCCTAAAAAACTTATATCTGTCTGACTAGACAAATTTATCATGAGCATATGGTTTCAGATGAGGTCATTGTACCTGTTTTGACAATTGAATGTTGCTTTCTAAAGGACAATACCTGGGAAAAGAAACACTATTATTGACACATTCTGGAAACAAACCTTTGGCCATGAAGTCAGCAAGCACATCATTTCTCTCCTTGGTCTAAAATTATAACAAACTTGCATTAGCCAAAATAATGAGCTTAAAAATAAAAATAATAAAGAAAGTGATTATGAATAAGCATAAATTTAAATCAGCTGATAAATGTATATTATACAGACTTGTTTTCACTTCTTTCTTAAATAAAGCTCACAACCCATATTGCTATTATCTTGAACAATACATAATTAAAAATCATTATTATTTTAAAGAAAACAAGCTATCTTTTATACATTAACATTAAATCCAACACTTTGATATCAATTGGAATTACAAATATAATATAGTTAGCCTCTCATTGTATTTTGTTGTCTTTTTGATGCTCGAAGTTTTCCTGTACATGACACCATGTATATCATAAGAACCTTGACATAGTTTTAGATTAAACATATGTCTATATTTATGAAGTTCCTGTATCTTATATGGTCTGGAAGCAGAATATATGACGAAATCACATGCTAGCTTTGTAAATTAACATTAATGTACCACATATCCCATTTTACATGTTATGATGCCCATACACACCGAAAATACAGCCAACGTCAACTGAGAGTGCTATGATTATACAATATATGTACTCCACCCACTCATCATAACATGCTAGTCAGTTACATGTACCCATTCAGTATTAGTATCTTACTGAAAATAATTCTAAAAGTATACATCACTACTACTGAAATAACAGAAATATTTTTCATTTTCAAAAAAAATCTGCGTTTTTATCCCATGTTTTCAGTATATATCTGAGTGATCAATATGGTATGTTGTATATATATAAATGTGAACTTAAAAAAAAGAAGATACATAAAAAACTCTGAAATAAAAAACATGAACATATATATATGACTAAATGATGATTGAACCATCTCTAGCCTATTGCAGAAATTATGCAAGATGCAGGTCAAATGACCTGATGGACAGAAATTAGTAGGAAAAGGACTTCCTGGATTAGTTTTTGTTTTAAATAACTTAATTCAGATGTTTTCCTTAACTTTCCCCATAGGAAAAGTATGCTTTCAAGTAAAGAAAAGGAATCAACTGAAGCTATATAAAGGAAAATTAAAGAAACTTGGGTCAAGAAATACAAATATATGCAAACAAACATATAGACTTACTACGTATACTTTGGAAGAAGTTTAAGATGACAAACTGTATCCATACACTTATCCATTTGTGATTTAAAAAAAAAA